ACAAGATACAATCTACCGGCATTCCTACCACAGTTAAGTGGGTTATGAGATGAGAGAAGTTACTGAGAGGCTTCAGGACAACCACTTGTTTAAGAGCTTAAGTCCTTATCTGTCTTAATTCCTGAATTTTATGGTTCCCTAACAAATGCTTATATAAAAAAAGAAACTTAGGCTAAAATTTAAAAAAAAAAATAGATTTTATAATTTAATTACTAAAACTATGTCACAGTATGGAGCCAGAGTGACCAAGGAAAGGAAGAACCATTACAAGCATTCTGGACAGCTGGAAAGTTGCTGGAAAACTGTAACACAGTACTACAACTGTAACTAGATTAAAAAAAAATGGTCCAAAAGGTACCCATTGAAATGGTCATTATACAGCTAGCAATTTTAATTAATCTGGACTGCAAACTAGTTCACGCAAAAAATAACTACAAGGCACAAAAATATTTCACCATTCATCTTCTCTCCTCTCAGGAATCTAAGATGAAATTCTGAGTTAAAAGAACCAAAATTTATTTTGTTCTTTGTTATATGAATCAAAGCCATTTGGAAAAATATAAAATAAAATTAATAAATGACTTCCTCATTTATATCTTCCCTGAACTCTACTTCTATGGCACCAATTCTATAGCATATAATTTAAGATGAAGACCCTCAACAAGATGGATTGACACAGTGGCTGCAACAGTGAGCTCAAACACAGCAACGACTGTGAGGATGGCACAGGACCAGGCAGTGTTCCGTTCTATTGTACATAAGGTTGCTGTGAGTCGGAACCGACTCGACAGCATCTAACAACAACAACAATTGTTTAAAATGCTAACCTTGTCTCTTCTATTACACGGTTACCACTGTGCAAGGAATCTCATTTCTTTTGTACAAATGATCAATTAAGAGGTGGTTTATTGGTTGACCGGCCTTTCCAAATCATAAGGTTATTAAGCTTTGTACCCTCAGAGTACCAGGCACATAGCAATACATGTTGTACAAAAAAATTTCTTATTATGACTCTGGGAAGGCAACATAGTCAACATTCCCAATGACCTGTTTGCTGTATTTGCATAGAAACAGCCTACAGAAAGGATTCTGAAAAGCTAAGTAAGTAGTTCAGTTGACTCTGAGGCAAGCATCTTAGAGATTATTTAGTTCACTCCCCTACCAATTAGGAAAGTGACTTTTAAGCGTCTTGCCTAAAGTCCCACAGCTAAGAAACAGAATTAGAACCAAGATAACTTGATTCTTGGTTCAGTAGTTTTCCTCCTGGTCAATGCTAACTTCACTGCTAAATTTGTAAGCTCCTGAGCTGTTCCTGCAAGAGGAAAGGCCAGTCCAGGGCTGGAATAGCTGCCCTAAATCCCTACAACCAGACTTCCCAACTGGACAGGAAGTTTCTTGAGGATGGGTATCATATCTTAAACAGCTGTGATCTCTTCATAATGCCTAGAATAAGATTCTTAGGAAATGTTTGCTATATCCTAATAAAAGAATAAGACCTAAGGATATAATTTAATTCTGAGATCTAGCCATAGTTGAGACTTGCTGTTAAGTCATCAGGAGTTGTACATTAAAACAAATTAACAGACAATAGGTCAAGTGCCATTGCTCCAAGCAGTTCTAAATGTTGAAGTTACAATCTCTGTGATATGGGTCTCTCTCTGGCTTTTAATAAGGAAAATAAGAGCTTCTTTCATCCCTTTCCTCTTAGGATAATGACAGAATTAATTTATATTAAATGGAGTTAAAGTGGGCTACTTCTTGACACAGTTATACAAACAAAATAAATATATGTTTCATGCAGTCATTATTCTGTCCAGAAGCTTACACCACATTAGATAGGCTCTCTTTTCCTTATATAAGCCTAGGGATGAGAACTTTAGCCTTTTGACCTTAAAAACCACAACACTTTCAGGAACAGGAGAAGAATTAGGAGAGAAGGAACTACTTCACAGAAAAATCCTAGCTGTCTCAACAAGAGGCCTTTATGCGGCAACTCACATAGGGATCTAAGCTAGGTATATGAGAGGATTAGGAAAACTACAGTATGCATTGATGTTTAATGTCTATTTCCTCACAGGATACAAAGTTTAAAAAATAAAATTGTCTTTTTAGCACCTGGGAACTATGCGAAGCCTGATGAGCTCTTATTTTAACCCATTAACAGCAGGTTTCTTTGTTCTCACTGCCCGTATCTTTACCTAGAGATTTTTAGGAGAAAATTTTGGAAAACTAGGTAAAAAATGGATACTTTCTCTCTTGCTAGTTTGATAAATTACATTGGTAAAAACAAATATAATCAGGTTAGATAAATGTAATGAAAAAATCACAAGCCTTTTTAATTGCTCATTATGTATTATCAAGTATATTTTCTTAAAACATGAAAAGCAAAACCAAAAATAAGAACTAACCTGTCCTGTGTCACTGGGAAATAAAGCAAATAATCAACTCCATTTACTTTTATTTTTCCATTTCCACGTTCATAAACAACTACTTCTGCTTTTGCACTCTTTCTTTTACCTTTAAATAAAAAAAAATTAAAAATTAAAAAATATGAAATTCCCATTCAATTATAATTTTTTCTAGAATAATAATATAGAACATTGCATATATGAAAGTTCTAGAACTATTACAAGTTAAACAAAATTAAAACAGGCAAACTGTACCATAATAGATATAATAAAGCTTATTAAGATGTAATTCTATCTTCAGGTCCATTTTAGAGACATCTGATTTTAAATTAGGTTCAATAACCAACAGAGTAATTCATATTATTGACATTTACTTCAAAAAATTTACATGGTCTTCTTCTTTTGTAGTCAATATGATTATAATAATTAAAAAATATATGAATAGTATGACAAAATATAATTGGGTAGAAATAAACAGAGAAGACAGTTGAAATGATAAAAGAGTTATGTTAAATTTTTTAAGAGTTGCAGATATATCATTTAGTAGGTTACACCATGGCAAATGTCTCTGTACAAGCAAAACGGGAGCTGACGACCCGAGAAGTTTTCACCAGTTCCACAGCGTTAACATCTGACATGCAGAGTCACTGTGCACCTTCATTTAATAGAAGGACCCTTTATTATAAGCGTGTATTGACTCCACCAGTTGAAAATGTGAAAATAAAATGATTTAATATAAATATGTGAAAATAAAAAGTGTTAGTAAGTTCGTATAGGTATGTACCCACATTTTTTCCTGGGCCAGTATAAGTTTCAGTTTTTAAAAACTTCAGTAGAATATTAACAATGGGGAAATCTAAGGGAGCTGTAGCAAAAATAAGCAAACTAACAAACAAAATCGAACGAATCCCGGGGAACAGCAGCAAATAAAAATAACTGTAGTTTCTCAAACTTCCCTGAATTTATTTTTTCTCCACGGAATGCCATTACCTTCGCTTGTGCTGAAGGCCATTCCTTGGTCGTCATACTGCAAAGGTTCAATCAGCTGTTTTTTGGATTGAACAGTTATACTTTTGCGAAATCTCTGCACAAATTCTTCTTCAGCAGCACCACATCGCAAGGTCGAAAACCTTTCTAGCAGCCGAATGAACTGCGCATACTGCAGACAATAAAAATTCATTAGAAGATGCAAGTGTAATTGCATTTGCTAAGTTTTTTCTATTTTTATATACTTGATCTTTCCAATGTTGCTTTTCTTGATGAATTTTGACAGGATGACACTTCTGCATCTTCATGCTGCTTTGAAAACAGCATGCAGAGGCCTCACTTTCCCGGCGTAGCTTTAGGATTAAATCTTTTCTTTCCAGAAACAAAGAAATTTATCATTCAGGAAAGAAAAAATCAATTTCTCTGTATTATGATTATATGAAGTTAAGATGTAAATTCATTTTCAAAAAATATTTAGATGATCACAAGTATAATTTCCACTCTCATATTAGAACTGTATCAAGGAGCTTTAGAAATAATTTCCAGTAAGTTATGTATAGTGAAATGGAAATAGTTTGATTTTGAGAAAATGTGCCTCTTAAATTATATTTCATAATACATTTGGCAAATATATCTTTGGCTGTTCAAGCTGTGTTACTTTAATGTTTATGATTTCCTTTAAAACCGAACAATCAAGCTATTTAAAAATTCAAGAGATACTTGACTTAAAGGGCAACCTCTTGAAATAAATTATCCTTGCTACTCTGTGCATTTTTTTTAATAGTTCTTGAACATGTGATTAGAAAGTAAACAACTTGGTATTAACCCCTTAAAATTAGAAGCCAGAATAATCATCCTAAAGTGTTTATGCCGAAGGAAACAACTTATACTTGAGATCCCTAGTTAATATGGATTGTGAAACCCTTATTTATGTTTCTGCCAACCCTAAAAACCATACTCTTCTTCGTCACCACTGCTTTTACAGTGAACCTCTGCCATTAATAATTTCAAATATATGGTGACCAGCTACCACCCTTGACCATTCTGATCAGGAACACAATAGAAGCTTCCGGATAGAAAGGGAGAAAAATATAGAACAAAGCTCAAATTCCTAACAAAGCCAGACCTACTGGGCCAATAGAGATTAAAGGAACCCTCGAGACTATAGCCTTAAGATACCCTTTGAACTTGGCACTGAAGCCACTTCTGGAGGTCATCTTTTAGCCAAATAGGTTGGCTTAAAAAATGAACAACATGAGAAATGTGCCCCTTAAACAATCAACTATATGAGACCAAATGGTCAACAGTTACCCAAAAGCAAAAATGAGAAGGCAAGGAGGAGAAGAAAAGCTAGATCAATGGAAACAGAACACACAGAATGGAAATAACGGGAATGCTGACACATTGTGAAAATTGTAACCAATGACATCGAACAATTTGTATAAAAACTGTTAAAGAAGAACTTAATTTGCTGTGTAAACTTTTAACTAAAACACAGTAAAATATTATTTAAAAAAAAAAATGCATGAAACACAAGACCGGCTGCCATCAGCACTGCGTCTGACTGACCTGGGCCCGTGAGAGGATAATTTTTGAAATATAAAAAAATTCTACCAGCAAGATTAAAATTAAAAGAACTGCTTCAACTACAACTTTCTGTGATGTTCCAATAAGACAAGAGGCAATTTTCTAAGTAAGGGTGAAATACTTAGGCACCAACGGCACTGGCTTGACACAGCTCCATTCTCACCCTCCCTCCCAGTCACAGGCCTATCTTCTTTGCTCTCAGCTATTCTCTCAATCCCATCTCCCACACTCTCTCTGACCACTCCCTGGAACCTACAAAGGGGTAGGTAACTCCTAGCCTTGCTTGTGAACTAGGTTTAAGAAGTCACTGACCACCCCTGCATTCCATCTTGATCCTAGCCATAAGCTTCAGCATTTCTTCTGATATCCGATACCCCAAAAGTACAGAGGATTATCATATATATATATATAGCTTGTTTTGTTTTCAAAGCGTCACACCTGTATTGAATTCCTTGGGATGCTTCCAAAGTGGAAAAAAGATACCTGTATTATAAAATTCAAAGCAGCCAGAAAATAGAAGAAACAATGAAATGATGCTCCCAATGAAGATGGGAAGAGAGATTCTTCAGTTAGATCCAAGTGCAGGAACACTGACTTCGCAGCAAGGATATCAGAAATTAACGGTGGATCTACTGCTAACCAAATGCCCGGCACCTTGGTTAAGCAAAGTGTACTTTTTCCAAACCGTTCATTTCGCCAACATGTTAAATAAGAAAAAGCATGATTTAAGTATGTGACTTAACATCTACATGGTGGCAAGGTACTAACAATGTTGGCTACTGCCATGGACGAAACAATCTTGGAGCAATTTAGGAAACGGTATCTACACTCAAATCTTCCAGAAAGAACATCAAAATATTTAAAACACCAAGTTTCCTCTGATAATACTGGGATATATCAGAACATTTAACAAACTAGGAACCCAGCTAAGACCTAAAGCAGGGTCACAAACTTGCTGGTAGAAGAGTCTCCTGGAAAGGTTGGGAAATGTACCCAGAATTCCTTGAGATTCTCAGCTAGGTCTTCGGAGCAGCTTAGGAAATGGCATTTTGTCATCAACATTCCCAGTGCTTCTGACACAGGTGGTTGTGCAGATCCCAGGATGCGAAACAATGACCTTACAGCTCTACACACAAGGTAAGCCAGGAAGCAGCAAATTGCAGGATGGTAACCCAAGTGCTTCATCTCTTTTCTACTTAACCTGTAACAGCTCCTTAGACTGATCATTAGCTTATAAAACGAGCTATACGCTTTACTGAAGGAGATGAAACGAGACATCTGCCGCACTCCCCTAAAACAACTGGTACAGGACACAAGGGCACTTACAAAAGGAGCATCTGGGGAACAGGCACGTCACTCTCCTGACCACAGATAAGGTCCTCCCGTGGCGGAAATCAACGATAAATGTGTGGGTTTTTTTTAAAGGGAAAATTGTCTTCGGAACACCTGCCTCTGAGGAGCTCACTATCAGGATCCTAAATACAGCAATTGTCTGCATTCTTACAGCACAGGTCCCCTTAAATTAAAAAGATTAATTACTCACATCTTGATCTGACAGTTTTTCCACTAACATTTCTTCTAGTTCCTCCTTAATCAGCCATCTGCTGCCAATCAGGTCTCTGTTAAAATATCACATATATTCTCTTTTTAATTAACCATGCAATTAGAGTTATATCACAAAAGATCCCACACAGAGTAGCAATTCATGATTTGGAAACACACTTATATAAAATATAAAAGTACAATTTAATCCATATAAACTTTTTTTTGAGAGATATTACTCCATTTCCTTCATCTACTTTAGAAAACATACACAGTTTAGCAAATATTTTGTCTGAAGAGTTAAATATGCCATTGTGAACTCATCTGATATTAAAACCTACCCAATTTCTTAAAAATGTTTCATAATTTACTTTAAAGAGATGTTATGAACACAAGGTTAACCTGTCAGTGAACTGAAGTCGTAATAAATTCCAAATGAAGGCTAAAGGTAGTATTTACAATTTAAACAAGGTGTGCTCAAAGACTTGAGCTTTTTTGCCAAATGGAAGCCAAATAGAGAAATACCAAAAATATTAAAGCTTGCAAATGTGCACTTATACAGACAAAAATTCTGCAGAAACCCTATTCAAATAGAGTAACTGAATATCTTTTAATACATTAATCTAGAATGAAGAAAAAAACAACTTCAGCACTTGCTTCCTCCCAAATAAAACTCACCTATTATTTTGAACCCAACTTTAATGATTAATGCTGAAATACTGAACAAATTTTAGCCTTCGGGTATGTCTTAAAAAATACCAATGAAAAGTGTTATGTTTTTAGTTCAAATTTTTCATATGTTTTAATGCAAAAAAAGAACTTACTTGGTTTTAGTTTTTTCCAGATCTAGACCTTCGGCTTGCAACTGATTTTGACGTTTTTCAATATCTAGTAGCTTTCCATATGCTTCCTACGACAAAATATACATGCTAAAATAAGAGATTGTACATTATTACTTATGATATATGTTATATTTTCCCTGTGAATATCTCTGATTTCTAAAGTAGCCTCCTCAAATCATCTAGCTGCACAGTAAATAAAACTGAAAATGCTTTTTAATAATACAATTTCTCATTCAAACTATAGGATGTTAGAGTAATTTCAATGAGAATTTAATATCATACATAGTAGCACACTTAACTTTAGCAGATTTTAAAATAAACTATAAAAACTTTACAACTCCACTTCAGTAAGGTCGATAAAAAAACTACATCTACTTATTTACCTTTGAGTTCCACAAACAAGTCCAAATATTTTCCTTAAAAATCATAGTTTATATAGCAACATGCATGTTAAAACTGGAAAATTAACCAATAAAGGTATTTATAAGGTATTTATAGCTGAACTATTTACCTAAAAATGTTTACACAATATTTAAGTCCTCATCATATCATGTATATCTTAAAGTTTTATATTTATTTTTCATTATTCAATTTCTTTCTATTAATTTACTTTCAAACAAATTCTCTGAATGTATGTCACCTATTAAATTGCAATGCAGGTAGTGAAAAGTTTGTCATTTTGTTAGAACTTGTCAAAAGTAGTAATCTAAACAACAGGGGTTAGGATTATCAATAAAACACATTTTCCAGGAAATGAGTTTACAGCAAGCAGAATACTACAATGATCTCCCAATTTTTTTGCCTGAGCAATCTTATTTTTTTTGGAGCACTCACACCCAATATAAGCATATTTATTCATTTATAATTCATACATAACCACAATTTGAACTTGATTAACTCTGTACAACATTCCTTGGCTAGAAATTTTAAAAAGATGAGCTAAAGATGATATAAATGGTATTTTTTTTATGGCTAATCATGACAGCTTCCAATATCATTAGTAAATGTCTGAAGACACAATTTGCTACTGATGGAGATGCTAATCCTTGTCTCAAACAGTTATTAATAATTTCAAGCTTGGGGGGCAACTTCTTGTTGGATCTGATTAGATGGCCACATTGCATCATAATGTTGCTGACAAAGAGTTTGTTCTAAGAGCAGGAGAAGTGCCCCATTGTCTTTGTATTTACCAGTGTATGAACCTTAGTGTTTTCAGTCTATGATCTCTGTACTTCAGGAATCCATTTCTCTCATAGGGAAAAACGAAGCTTAGGATGAGAAGATCACGCCTTTGAGTTTCAACAACATAAACGTAGGTAAGAAAAGCTGAGACAATGAGTCAGGACATCTCAGTGAGATAAGGACGTAGAAGTTTATTTCTTTTGGCTGGTGAGACTCATAAAAGAACCTTTAAATTTTTTTTTTTTTTTTTACTCTAAGGGAGGTAGAATCGATAGCTTCAGAAGAAAGAAAAGCAGCAGAGAGAGAAAGAGGTGGCACTTACTGAATATGAGTTGTAAAACCGGTGGCCATAAGGAACTGAAGGTAAAAGTGAACCATCACTCTAGTTCAGTAATTCTACAGGTGCACTCCCCAGACCAGCAGCAACCGCACGAAAGCCTAGAACTGGTCAGAAATGTCTATTCTGGGCCCCACTCCAAATTTCCTGGAAAGGAACTTCTGGGAGTAGGGCTCAGTGATCTGTTCTAACCATGACTCCAGATGATATACACTAAAGGCTGAGAACTGCTGAGAGTCTAGTTCAGCACAATTGCAAAGGCAGAAATTAAGTAATTCATCTCAGCATCCACATTAAGTATCACAACTTCATCGAAAGTACAAAACCATCACCTGCATCAGCAGAGGAATACATCTTACAGTCAAAAAAACAAAAACAAAACTGTCCACCCTAAAGAAAGCAAGAACAACTACTGTGAACCATCCACCATATTAGAACCTTTTCCTGTGAGTCAATTAAAAAGATATATTTTACAATTTGTCTCCCAAGAAATGGCAAGTCTGGTTTATTTATGACTAGGGTACTTTTAAATCATTTTTCAAGACTAAGATACTGGATTATTACTCCAACTGGAAATTATATCAGCATCTCTTGTGTCTAAAAAGCAATTCTCAAATGCTCTGAACCAGTAAAATGAAGAACAGAAACCTACAAAATAAATCCTCCCCTACTTGTATGAAGTGGACAGATACGGTGCAAACAGCATTTCACTGCCCGTTCGGAACCTCAGCTGGGCTGCTACTCAGATTGGGTGCTCTGGGAAAGGAAAAGAATCAGGTGCTCAGTTGGTCTGGTGCTGAGTCTTGAGATTCTGAGAGTACAAAAGTCAGAGATGTTGTCAAAACTAGTTAAGATATTTTGAACCCAAGAGAACAGCAACAACGGCAATAAAGTACTCTCCCCTGCTTGTAAGGCTGTATTTCATTTTCTATAATAACTGAGACAGTAACAATAATTTACCTATTATTATGAACAAGTTTCAAGCCAACATTTGGTGGCTAAATTCATCATCATTTTCCACCAACCTCTGAGCAATTTTTACTTTAAGTCTATACTAAAAAAATATTCTTGCACTACGCCATTATCTTCTGGTGTTATATTTAGATCCATAATAATTTTTAAATGGTGCAAGTAAATTAACTAGAATATGAGAAAACAACTCATAAAAAGTCAAACATGGTAAATCCTATTCATTTAAGGCAAATGCTTTCAATTAGATGGTTGGAATCCATCAAATTAGGTAATACTTATTAAGCCACCCCACACATTTCTTTAATAGGAAAATATACATAAAGTACTTAGCACAGTACCTACCATATAGTAATGTTTAAGAAATGATAGCAGGGGTGAGATATGACATTCAAGAGTCAAATAATACAATTTTATTGGTGCACCATTTCTATCTATTCTTTCTTTTCTACACAGTAAAACCACTGTCGAGATTCTAACTTGGTTAGTTAGAAACAACGGTTCTCTGGAAAGGGGAGTCTATAGCTTCCACTCCCTGAAGAAGTGTGCGCTAATTTACATCAAAAAATCCTTGAGGGGATAAAATATGCCAGGAACTGTCAACATCACATATTATCACTGGTAGTTTTCCGTATATTGTTAAGTTTCCACTTGATTTTTAAGGGACACTAGAGAATTAGTATGACCCCACCTTACACAATGTTTATAGACTGTATTTAATATAGTGTAATTTTCAAATATGACAGGAATAACCCAGATGTGAAATGCTGAATCATTAATCACAGCTATGATTAATATTTCATAAAATCAAAGCAAGCCTACCCACCCCGCGTGTCATCAGATTTCCATAATGTATGAGGCAAATTTAGAAGGTGCCTAATTTGAAAATACCAGATGCTCAGGTTGCAGAAAAGAAGTGCTTAAACTAAACCCTTCCAATAGCATGAGCAATATGATTTTTAGTATCCTTCTAGAATCTGTTTTGGTTATATTAATCATATGGAAATTCCAATTTTAGGAAGGGTAAACAAGTAACATTTCATGGCAGGGGAGAATAGGAAAAGCCAACTGTATTTTGATATACAAAATAAATAATAACACACTAATAGCAATTATCTTAGATACTAGTTCCGTAATAGAAAAGTAACTGACTTAAAATTTATATTTGTTAAAGGGATCAGAGAAAATCAATTTCATTTCAAAGAAATTCAGTGATAAATAATAAACTTCATTTTTGGCCAATGACATATATAAAACCTAATGAAATAAAAATAATTCATTCATCATTAACTTAAAGACAGGTTTCTACTATATATCTAACATTCCAAGTGACATACTTCTATTGTAGACTCCTGCTATTACTTTGTGAATACAATATGCTGTACAGTCTATATACATCATGTAATGCTATTCAACACAAAAAGGAAATAGTCTCATACATAGGACATATAAAAAAGTACTTTAGGGAAGTACACACCCAGGAGGAATTACATAGAAATTCTTGTAACTTGGGTACCATATATTTTTACTACTCAAACTAAAGCCCCATCATATATTAAAATACCAATTATACCATTACAAAAGAAGTAATCTGATTAAAATCAAAACATAAAGACAACAATAATAGATCGAATTGGTTTTTCAAAAAATTAATTTTCCTAATTGTTACACTTGGAGCATACAAGAAGATATACAATGGTAATTATTCCTATGTGAGGAAAATGTATATTAAAAAATACTTCTGGAACAGCAATTTCTATTGCTGAATTAATTACTGAATTAACTCCTGCTGTCAAGAAAAGTCTTAAAACAGCATGCTGATATATTTCAGCACCAGTCTGTAGCTTTTTAACAACAATCACTTCACATAGTTGTAAAGTAGTTATTTCACAATGGCTCACTGTGCGAAGGGTCACTATTTGAATGCCATTTTCAGAGATAAGAGCACTGCATGTGAGAGTTCTCAATATTCACAAGGTCACAAAGAGGATTTAGAAACCTCTAAACTAAGTAAGGGTTCTTTAACACTCAGTCCCCAGGACTTTTGCTTATGGAGCCTGCAATCTTCACATAATGAAGCCACACACTTCTCCTGGAGCTGTTGTTCTCATCTGGCTAAGAACATGGAAGGTGACTTAAGTCATTGAAA